TAATTTATGGTTTCATTTATCGTGTGTAGATACGCGCGCACAACGCATTTTTCATGGAGGAATGTTAACAATTTAAAAACATATTGATAATGGGCGTAAAAGAATATTAAACTTCAAGAACATAATTATAATATTTTATGAGAAAAAGAGAAGCACAATAAGAAGAAAAATGAAATGTGGTGAATTGTTACTGTTTATATTCAGTATATTTTACTATTTTACAGACGTAAAATTGTTAATACAAATGGTTATTTATGTACATGATATATTTAATTTTAACTCTATGTAATACTTTCATACAAATAATAAAGTATACGCTTGTCAGTATTATTTAATTAAATCAATTAATTTGACGATAGGATTTATTATCTGGACCAGTTGTAGTGAGTGATAAATAATGTTTCATAAATGCTTGAATTTTATAAATTAGATTTAAAAGTGTTTAAAAAAAAATTTTATTATGTTGTATTTTATAATCCAAGTAGTCCATGATATTAAAAGGTAAGAGGTAAATATTGAAACCTCAATGATGAAAGTAAGTTCTCAGAAATCTAGGTGAAAACTAGAAATACACTTTTGAGAAGTGAAAGTTACCATGTATTGAACTCGTTAAGAAATACCAATCTACTTGTACCGCATACGAACTACAACCGGTTTCTATATAAAAATACGATATACAAAAATCGAATTTGTCATTTATATGATAAATCAACTCAATGTATCGCAACATAAGATGAATGACTATGCAAGTTTTCAAATATGTTACTAGATCTGAAGTGCGTTAACCTCCTTCCTCGTAACCCGGAGTCACAGATTACGTTTGTATCAAATTTCTATTTTTAATCTATTACTTTTTTCATATCTTTTCTAGCATACTCGACTGATATGAGATCGTAAAGCAAAGAATTAATTAAGCTTAATGATTCGAAATACGAACGTGAGATCGCCAGAAACGGATGTAACGTTAGATGTTGGGAAGCTGGTAGAACGCCAAAACTTTATTCGCATTTATGAAACGAAAGAACGTATGATGAAACGAAGGGAAGAATGACGTATGTGCGTGAACAGCAGATGCATCCTGATCCTATTGTACATACACATGCATGGTTATCTGTTTTTCGTTGTACATACACACACGACACCTTTCTTCTGTCAATATGATCCTAGGCACGTACACAGTCACGTACATACACCTATGTTCCGTGTATAGTATTGCATAAGTTCTCGCCATCATTGAACTATGCCTGTAAACAACTGATCTAATTCTAACCTACGAACATCACTGATCGCAACACCGATCGTAGTCAATGGATGACGACAAAATTAAATCGTCATTGAGCAACAGTTAAAATAGATATCGAGAAGACCTAACAAAAATTCAGACGCAATTTAAATACTACACGTGTGACTATTCGTTGAAGGGTGTTCTTTTTTCTGCTATACGCTAATCGCATGTATTACTTGGAGCCATGTAAATTTTATTTAAAGTAACAAACGTTATGATACACGTGTCGGTTATGTAGATAAGCGTAATAAAGGTTAGGATCGAACGATTTTAAATAAACAGAATTATTCGTATGATTAGTTGATTATTTGCACTTGCAAATACTTATGATCTTTTGATTATAAATATGTTCAAAAAGATGTATTTAAATATTTAAAAAAGCATGTGCGTTTCTGATATTATGGCAGGTATACTTTATCGGTTAAAGGTTATACTGGATAACACGATACTAAGAAGTTTCTATGCTCTGAGAAAAATAAAGGTACATAATTATAAACATATAACTCTGTGTATAATAAATTAAAGTATTGTTGAGTTAACTCTAATTTTCGAAATACATTTATTTTAATCGTGCTGTAAAGCATTTCTTGCTCTCCTACGAATCATGTGTCAAGGAATCACGTGACCGATGTATTATTAGACGAAAGTGAATTCTTCCGATGTTTATTTGAACATCTTAATTTTAATAACTGCGGTTTTTTTTAATGCAAAAAATCAATTCAGCTGCTGCATACATTTCTTTTTACACTACTTAAAGTTTCAATTTAATTTCGATGAACGAAGTTTATCAGTTTAGATTCGATTTAAATAACGTGTAATTATTGTTTTATTAAATACAGTAGATGTATCTTTCAAAACTAAGATTACTTTTCTATTCGCGTGACCTGAACTTGACCTTTTCGTGTGTATTTAGCCATACACATGAAATGAATACATTTATTTCATTGAAAATTTGTTTATGAATTACATTACAAAAATATGGATCAGTATCATTGTAAATTTACATAATTTAAAGTAGCAAGGTAGCTATTGGGTGTCGACTAAATGTCAGTCAAGGTCGAATCTTATTGTAGGTCGAATACTTCTGACAGTATTTCCCATTGATTTTTCATCTCTCAAGAATCAACTTGATCCATGGGAATGCATGACAATTTTTGTTTAGTTTTTTGATTGAATTATTCATTCAAGAACACGTACAAACGTAACTTACCTGATATTGATGAGGTGATTCCTGACCCAAAACGCGTACCAAAGGACGTTGTATCGTTCGCTGGTTGAAAAGCGACTGAAGTAAACCTAGGGTATTCGTCGGTTTCAAAGTCTGAACCGGAATGATAGTGACGCATGCGCATTAGCCTTAACCGTGAAGGTTCTCAACCTTGATTATATGACTGTCCATTTCAGGGAACATGCGTAAGGTGTGTATATATAAAACCAAGCGCCAGGGATATTTCAACAATCAAAATGCAATTTTAAATATTTGATTTTAGAAGGATTTTTATAAAATTATATTAATCTATAATCTATAATCTAAAATTATATTATCAAAATTGTAAACATGAAAGAATTTTTTTTTCTCTCTTTTCATACAGTTTCGATTGCTATACTTTATTTTTATAAATGCGTTCCTTAACATTTGAATTATAAACTATTTTTCATATTACAAAAGAATTTAAAAAATACGTTTATATCGGTATTCGTTTAGTGCGCAGAAAGTTATTTCGAGTACTCATATGTTTGTTTTATTTTTATAAATATGTATTATGTATACTGCTCAGAATAGCTCATCGATATAATCAATAGTTAATAGTTAATAGTAATCAATATATCATTGATTCTTAAAAGATTGTAATTATTGTTTTGAGCTCTGTTACTCTTAAAAAGTTTCATTTCAATAGTAACTGATGTTAATCATAAATACGTTCGAAAATATATGCGCAGGTGTTAAATACAATTTAAAAAGCGATTCAACCACACGTGGTATTAATCGTATGTTTTATTTTTATTTGTTCACGGTTCCGTTACATGATCACCGGTGTATCGACATAAAAATAAATTCAATAAGTGGCACTTGATTGTTTGATCGCTACGACACTGGCGGATACACGTGCTGACGATCACGACCCTAAAAACGAGAAGGATGATGGAACGTGGTTGGAGGGGAAGTGACGACATATCGACCACTGGCAACGCAAATTTCCGAACGTATCGTACAGTTGATTGTTTCGAAACCATCCAATTGAGAGCCGCTGTTTTAAAGGTCAGTCAAGGGCACCTTGCCTGACATTCGCCGAAATTGCTGACGGCATTTTTCATCGGAAGGTTTACGTACTCGTTTTCTCTGCTATTACGTGTAATGAAACATACTCATCATTTTTCGTTTGGATAATATTTTTATCTTTGTCAGATGATTCTGTTGATAAAGTAGGCTTGGCTTGTTGTTATCTCGTGATTCAACTTCAGTTTCTCTGTTCGAAACATTTCATTAAGTTTAGAAATGTAATTGAAATTTGTCTGATGAAATTGAAGATGGATTTTTAAAATTGTTTCTATGGTTAGTTCTGTATTGCAGATTGTGATATTTAAATACGTGTGTTAAGAACGAGTTACTTTTATATTTTCATTACTATACACTGTGTATAGTAACGTATTGTTTAGTAATATATTAGTGCAACAAATCAATATATAAAGCTGACTTCCAAATAAATTTCGTACTTTTTTATAATTTCTATTTTACATTTGCATTGCTGTATAATGTTCTTATTCAAAAAGAAAATCTGTTAAAAGTTCTTCTGCACATACATTATTTAATTATCAAAAGAAATCATGCAGAATAAGGAAGTAGTATTAAATTGTTGCAAGTGAAATGAAAATTGTCCATCATTTTTTTATAAAATAATATTTTAATTGATGCTTGTACAATTATTCTTATTCATTTTAGCACACTGAATACCTTAGTGATTATTGATGATCATAAATTTAGTTTAGAGGGTCAAAATTTTCAAAAGCTATAACTTTGTTAAATAATAATATGCATTATGTAAAACGTATTTTAAAATATATTTAATTTTTATAACCACGAATTTTTAAAATTGTATGTTATAATTTACTCTGGAGGTTCGTATATATTCATATATACCTACACTGAAATTCATAAAGAGACAATATATATAATTACAAACAATTTCACTTTACTTCATTGTATGGTACGACCGACAACTAGCCATTTTATATTAAAAATATTAATGAAGGGTTTTGAGTTATTTACAGCAAACTTTAAGCTTCGAATTGATACGGCATAAATACTACTCCATAATACTTTTATGTTAGCAATTTTATGTTAGCCTTTTTATGTTTCGAAATTAATCATTTAATTGAAGGGAGCTCTGAGGGGGGCTACAACCCCAGATCCACTTTGCTTGAGGTCCCCTTCTAAACCTTCCATGTACTATGTCAGAAAATATTAAATGACATTTTTTTTTATTGTTACCCTTTTTCTTTACAATTAAATGTTGTTAAATTTTAGTCAGAATAAATCTGAATTTTTAAAGCAAGTTTATCAACAAAGGAATCTTTGAAGGTTTGATAGACCTGGGGCACCAGAAATGTTAACCCGGTCCTGTATATAACTCTTGTATAATAACCTCAGAAAATAGAATACTGATCGAAATTCTCTATACTACAGTGATTTAACTATGATACACATAATTATTTCAGAAAATCATAAAACAATAATTTAATATGTATAGCTTAAATGATTTCTATAATTGTCTACAAAGAGTTTGTTTTTCTCCTGGTGCATACACCATTATTTAGTTGCGCTTGTCCTAAAGCCGCTTCAGAGCAAAGTTTTGCCCTCTCTAGAAAGGTTTCTTGAGCTTTCTCAATATTTTCTGCATTTCCACTCCAAACTTTCATCGCTTCGTTCTTTGAAAAAATAAACAATTAATTGAAGAAATTTTGTTGAACAAACGTTTGAGCTATAGATAACGTTTTTTATTGTTTGCATGCTGTTTACTTGTAAAGCACGTCCGTAACAGAAGCTGAGCGTCCATGGTTTCTTTCCTTCGTAAGTATTGATAGCGTTCAAATTTAAAACGGAATCTGTATCCGACTGTCCGCCGCTCAAAAATAAAACCGCTGGCACTGCTGGGGGCACTGTCCTCTCCAAAGCTGTTAACGTATACTCGGCAACAATCTATTAATATTTTTAATCAATTTACAATTCAAACTTATAAAATGACAATTAGATATAAAAATATCTGAGAGAAATATCATATTACAAATAAAATTTAACAAAAAATAATATTTAGTATATTAAAATACAAAATTTAATACCCAAACATATAGAAGCCTTATTTAACCCTTGAACAACGGTGCCTGGACCAATCATGACCCAAATTTAGAAAACATATACAAGGATATTACCTTAAAGTTAAATGTAGAATTTTAAGACGAAAGAGTTTCATATATTAGAAGAATAATTTCTTCAGGAACCGTGTGAAATTTAGAAAATGATAATAATATGAAATACAAAATTAGATTAAAATTGGGGATTTCTCCATGGACCGCCGTCCGTGAGTTAACCGAGATGGCCATAGCAAAAGGATTGAAATTTTTTTATTAAAATGCATTTTTCCGATTTTGTTGTTATACCGCAGTTCACCAGAGTCCATAACTGCGACGCGCAGGTTGGAAGATGGTGGGGGAACGCAGCGAGCTCTCCGCCAATCGCTTTCCACTTCGTTTGGGAATATCGCCAATCAGGGCGAAGATGCGCACTGAAGATGCGCGAAGAACGAAAACTGGTCTTTTCGCAGTTATGGACTCTGGTGAACTGCGGTATAGATACCAGTTTGGCTGATATTTTTAGTTTGAACTTGTGTTAGTTTTTATAATGCGTTTGTTAAAAATGTTAGTTTTGAAAAATTCGTTTATTTTAGATTTCCAATAGAGAAACAATTAAAGATCCATGATCTTAAGAATATAGTATGCAGTCATAGGTATACTTCTAAACAAAAACATTTTTATACCAATTAGAAAAATCTTGTTGCTATTCTCAACATCTTGAAGGCTAAATGAGAGCTAGCCTGTTTATTATATTTTAGTAGCACATTTTTTTGTAAACTTAACTTTTTACCTTTTTATCGAAACAAGAATTGAAATCGTCTGCCATTAAAACATTACATTTTTTTTAGATTGTTAAAAGTAAATGAAATCGGCAGATATTGGTTGTTTATACTTTAATTGATAACGTATTACGAAAAAATGACTTTTTATCTTCTGAAATAAACTGTTATTTAAGAAACAGCATATAAATAAAAAGAAATTCTTGTAACGGGACAAATAGGTAGTCCCAAAATATTTGTACGTAAATTGAAAATTAAATAAAAGTCAATCTATATTTAGTATTTATTAAAAGCGCGATAAACAGTAAATCGATTAGAAATTCTTCAAAAAAGTTACAAAGAGTTGAAGTTCACACTTTCACGATTGGCTAATTCTAACGCCATTCGGAAGCTGATACTAAAAATACAAATAAAAAAATAGTTTCCAGAATAAAGATTAAAAATTGATGGAAAAACATAACACTACGTCAGTGGCTATTTAATGAATTTAATTTAAAAAGAATCCTTTCTTATTATAGATATTAGATTATCATTGGATTTCTCTTTTTATACACAGAACCGAATTAAAATTTCTGGGGCCCCAGGTCTAATGAACCTTCAAAGGCCTTGTTGGTGGATAATCTTGGTTCAAAAATTGAAATTAATTCTAAATAAAAATTAAATAACATTCAACTATAAAGAAAAGGGGCAACAGTAAAAAAAATTTCATTCGATATTTTTTTACATAATAAATGGAAAATTTAAAAAAGGGCCCCCTGCAAAGTGGGACTTGACACTGTAGCCCTTCTTACAATTAGACCTCCCCTTAATCCGGCGCTGTTTATATAGTATAACTGTCCTCTAAATATAATAGTATTGGCACAGTAATTAAAAAATAAATTACTGTACAAATACATGTAACATAAACGACAAGTATACATCCTGAATGTTTTATTGAAATGTCTTTTATTAATTTAACGAAATGGATTTGACATCTTTGACTAGTTCTTATAAATTCAACCCTTAATTATTAAAATATGTGACAGCAATAAGACTTGAAGAGGGCCACAGTATTGTTGAAAAGGTATGATGTTTTTATTAACATCAATGCTACTCATATAAAACTGGAATAGATAAACAAACAATTTTAAGATATATTTACAAATTACTGTACCTGAGATGTGCAATTCATGGTATTCTGTATTCCTGACAAAACCATCGCTGGTTTTAGAATTATCCCTTCAAGATAGACACGATGTTCGTTCAAAGCGCGAAATAAAATAGACAACACATCTTCGTGGACTTCTAATGCCCTATTTATTCCATGATTACCGGTATTCAATATTTCCGGTTCTACGATTGGTACGATTCGTGCACTCTGACATATACTGGCGTATCTTGAACATAAACAAATCATTTATAAATATTAATTAAGAGAGATACAAACTAATGAATAAGTGAAGAACAGAAAATCATTGTATTAGTAGATGTAAGGTACAAGCACGTGAAAATCTACTATTTTTCAACGACTGCCACTTACATTAGTACCAACAATAAATATAATTCATTATATAATAAAACGTTAAAATATTCATTTTAAGCGAACTAGTCATCGTTAAATAAATACAAATTATTTTTATTTCACGAATAAAAAAATTAACCATACAGCAAACATCATATAATCATATACCAAAAAACTTTCTTAACTGAACTTATATTTTTCTAAAAAGAAAAAGTTATTAACATTTTTAACCCAAAAAGTTACTTAAGACCTTCTATTAATCTTTCAGATAATCTTTGAATAAATATTGCTAATAAAACAAAATTAATTCTTTATTTGAATAAATTTGTTATGTATTCGAAGGATATTCAAATAATGCGCAACTCTGAAGATGAGTAGCAATCACTAATTCATACTATTTGCCATGGGCGGGCTGGGACTTACATTTTTACCAGAAGGTTAGTGACATGACGGTTTTTTTTTGTAATTTTAATTAATTACACCTCGATTCCCTACTGGCCTACTGGAAACTTTTCCGAACTTCCGCCCCTACTATGTACCATCAAATTTTTTTTCAAATATATCATTGGACACTATCACCCTAGCGGGGAGGGGGTTTGAGGGCGCATAGGATGATAATGATAGCGCAATTAGAAGAGATTAGAAGGTTCAGCTGAGCCCTCTATTAAGAAATTAAAATCCTCTTTTTAATAAACAGCGGAATATTTTCGGAGATTTCAAATAACATTACTGCGAATAAACAAAAATGAAGAAAATGACACCAACTATTAGATAACTATGCATAAAAGGTCACACATCTCCGATCCTAACGCCATCCAGATATGTTACAGGGGAGAGTGCTCTGAGCAACTCTCGAGGCGGTCGACATTGGTTTAGGACAAATCAAAGTTTACGACAAAAGTAAACCTGTTGTTGAAAAAATATCCATGTAGTTATGTTTTAAATAAAGTAAGTAATAGCTTTGTTATTTAGAGGTCATAAACAGATGACTATGACGTAGATAAACACGACTGTTCCTAATATCTATTTATAATACCTAAGCAAAAGTATTAAAATTGTCAAACTTTGATTTCTTATACCTCCTAAACTCTAAACCAATGTCGGCCGCCACCTAATTATTACGAGGAATCACTCTCTATCGGAAAATTTTGATTGCACAACTGGGTTGATGTAAGGCCAGTCTTCTTAAAACTGAAGAAGAAATTCAAAAAATCTGAAAATTTACATGACTCTACTTTATAGATTTACAAACATAAGTAAACAATTTAAGGATTTATTGAATTGAACCTTGCAAGGACGTTCGCATTCGCAGCCATGGCCAGTTGACTCGGCGTGCTCTCTGAGATCGTGTACGTGCATCGCCATTTGGCGAAGTGGCAACCATCTCGTTTATATTGAATGCATCTCTCTTGCAAACTGTCCAAGCCTTCCGTGGTGTTTTCGTCCTTGGTGCCAAATAGCTGGACCAAACCTCTGTCGACCTTAATGCCGGGTACGACATTTCTTTGGCGTAGCAGCTCGATGAACTCAATGTCGTCCGTGGTTTTCTGATAAACTGTCTCGTGGTGCAGAATAACACCGCTAATGTATTTGGAGAGTCTAGACTACAAGAAAGTGCAAATATTTACGATTGACACTTGAATCTCGATGAATTCTCAAGAAATATTTCTCTTTTTATTGTTAAACATATTATTATTATTTTCTATTTGGGTTTTGAGAAAAATTAAGGATTATAACCAATGACCTTGTCAGCTGTGAATAGCATTTGCCGATAATCACGCCGAGTGGTTTCACTGTTTTCGATGTTGAGTTCATCGAATCGTTTTTCTAAAGATGCTGGAGACTCGTCGCTAGCTAACAACCCTTTTCCTGGTGCGATTAGAGTGTTCACGATTTTTCGCAGCTCCAGACATAGAGCGGGATCTAGCTCCGTGTATTTTGTAATGGGTGATGATATCTGGTCAAATATCGGTCAAATGGAAAAATTTCCATAAGTTCTTAATACGTATATACATATGTTCGTTACGGACGTTGCGAATCCGCGTTGATTGTAATCTTGGCAATATGTGGACGATCCGATTGGTATTATAATAGTATTATCCGACTAATATTAAAATAATAATATTAATATTAATATCGCACGTAAATTAAATTGACGCAAATCCGTAGCATCTGCAGCGAACGTGTTAAATAATTTGCACGATGATTCCTGTATTAATTTTTGTTTCATTTTACATAATGTTTAAAGCCTCATTATCATTTCCTCTGCAACAGTGAGTTACGTATTTTTAATAAATGAAGTTTTACAGAGGAATAAAGCAAATTGTATTTTCTTTTTTCTTTTTTTAAATTTATTTGGAATTGCTAGTAGATTTGGAACTAAATACTGACAATGAGTGAAACTAAAAAAGCAACAATCGAACTACTTATATTTAATTATATATGTATAACGATCATTCAATATTCTGATTTTTCAATTTTTATACTATGTATAATTTTTGTTATCAGCTACTGATATTAGGGTGGCAAAGTCCAAAGACGATATCAAATATTATACCACAATCGTAGTTACGTTTTTCAATCTTCATTTCTCTTTTTAGTTTAAGATAATCTAGTACTGATAAACATTATCTGGTATGTCAACAATGAACCATTCGTTTTGCATATTTTTTGTTTTAATTAAGATATATGTTTAAATTTTTGAAGTGTAAATTACATTTTTACAGTGTATAACAAAGTGTAATATATGTTTCTACAATAAACAGCATTTTTCTTATTAATCGGATATGATATATTGTAATCAACTCATTAAATGATTTAAATACTTCTACATTTTGTTTGGTAATATCTAATCAGTGATGAAATTATTAATAGAATGTTATAACAGCTTACTTTGTCCTTACAAGTACATTTATCTCCTAACCGCATCATTTCTTTTTTTTTTGTAATTTAAAATGTATAAAAATACTGGTCAATTTGAAAAATATAACAGAATGTCGAATATATTTTTATGTAATTATAGAAATCATGTTTGCAGAAATTTCGATAGAAATTCCTGCCTTCTTTCAGAAATAACGAAACAGTTGAATATTTGTTTATTATCCAATAAAGTTACATGATTGTAACTTAAATCTGATATGAAACAATAGCTTAATTAAAACAATCTTTTTAAAGAATCATTAAGATATTAGTAAAATATTTTCTTTTTTTGAAAAAAGAGTATGACTATATACTTATAGTATAAAAATGTTATGTTTCAATTAATTCTTACGATATGAAGCACGTTTCGTAATTGACCGCTACCAATTACCGGAAGAGTCGCGGTAAAAAACCCTAAATGTCTCGCGTCTAATTCTTTCATGAAAAGTTGCCTTAAATTTCAGCAAGTTTTTGAAATGAAAATCGATGAAGGGAACTGTTACAAGTTATTAGAAGGAGGTTAGTTGCGGTTACGTATGAGCAGGATGTATGCGAGCATTGATACTGAGCAAATATTCAATAATTATATTGCATTATTATATCGTTAATGCGTCTGTTTATATGTGATTCTCATCTGGCATTCCATATGAAAATATTTCATAGTGAGAAACCTTTGATTGCGATGTAGAAGGTTAATCATCGATGCGACAAAACAGTAAATACACGTTGGAAAATACGATAATTAAATCTAAGATAGATTTAATTAACTTAGAAAATTAGTGAAATTTTATGATGAGTAACAGAGAGAAAAGTGATTCACGATCAGAGCAATGCTCTAAAGAGAGAGAGGAAAGAGAAAGAAAGCAGTCGGTCTCTTCGCAAAGCGATGATTCCAATGGCAAGAAAAAGAGGCGTAACACGTGCAGTAAGGATAAAAGAAAGAAATCAAGGCATAGAAGTAGCTCTAGTGGCTCAAGCTCGTCTAGTGCCTCTAGTCGAGAGGCTAAACATCAAAATGATAGAGACAGGAGAACTGACAAATGGGATAAAAAGTATGAGAATGGAGTTAGACCATACCAAATGAATACAAGGGAAAGTAGAGGATACTATAAAGGACGCAGTGGATTCTTTGATAATCGAAAGCGTAACTTTGGCTATCGACCTTATAAGCATGGATTTTACGATAGGAATAGAATACATAATAATATGCAATATAATAGATATAATAACGAAAGAAGAGGCAATAGATTCTTTAATCATAATAATAGGAGACCACCTTATGATAGATCCAGAAGTAGAAGCATTCAGGATCATGATCATCAAAGAAGCTTAAAAGAATCCAGTGAGCATTCAAGAGAAAGTAATTCAAAAGAAAGACACGTGAAACATTCGAACACTGATAAAATAGAAACTAAAAAAAGAGACGTAGATGACACTCCTGTGAAAGGAAAAGAAAGAAAGAAAGATGAAGACACGCAAGAAAAGACTGATCATCTTGTTCACAAAAAGTCGAAGAGGAAAAGGTCTTTATCCTCTTCAAGTTCCTCAAGTGTAAGCAGTACTAGCAGTGACAGTAGTAGCAGTAGTTCTAGTAGTAGTAGCACTAGCAGTAGTTGTAGCAGTAGCAGTACAGATACATCAGAGGATGAAAGAAAACGCAAGAAAGCAAGGAGAAAAGCAAAAAAATTAAAGAAAGCTATGAAAAAACGTAGAAAGAAGAAGAGAATGAAGAAAAAGTTGAAGAAGAAATTAAAAAAGTCTAAAAAGAAGTCACGTAATGTTGATAAGTCCAAAGAAAGTATTTCTAAAGATACTACACAAGAGATATCAGAAAAGTCTAAGGCAATGGCACCAATGACAAAAGAGGAATGGGAAAAGAAACAAAATGTAGTACGTAGAATTTATGATGAGGAAACTGGAAGATACAGGTAGTTGTCACAAGAATATAGATCTATTTTTATTCACAGATGTACAGCATATAATAAGAATTAATTATAATTTACTGTTCTCACAGATTAATTAAAGGTGATGGAGAAGTGTTAGAAGAAATAGTGAGCAAAGACCGTCATAAAGAAATAAACAGGCAAGCAACTAAAGGAGATGGAGAGTACTTCCAGGCACGCCTGAAAGCCAATGTTTTATGAACTATTTTTCTATGTATGCTAAAAAAAAAAAATATCCTTATATAATAATTACTTTATTCTCAGTGTTAAAATCCTGTATGGCAGTATGTTTTTTAATGTCTCAGAGAAAATACTTATGTGTTGTACATTAATGAACTTACCTACAGTGTGATTTTAATTATATTACATACACAACCTTAATGACCAAATGTTGAAATATAATCAACAACGAAAACAATTTAGATTTAAGCCAATTTTATAGTCATTTCTTTTCATACTGTGACTATGGATGTTCTCTGTCACATTGAAAAAAAAAGACTTCTCAATTTGTTTAAGACATTGAACATAATTATATTAATTTGAAGAAAACTTGTAACTACTTATAAGTTTCATAAATTAGTTACATTATTTTCGTAAATAAAAAATAATAATCGGTAAATCATTTTCAAAATATAAATTTTATTCTTTAATGCAAGTAGTTCTATTATTTCTTATATGCAGATTATTTTACAAATTTGTAAAGTTTATAGTACTGTTTAATAGTTTCTTTAAGTAATGAATATATAAAAAGTATTTCGTAATGAATATTAACATTATAGGTAGTTAAGTAATTCATATCAGGATAAAAATCTTACAAAAACCAAATGAAAATATTTCATGTAAACTAAATGCTTAATTGAAGCTCTTGGAGGTTAACAGTGGAAAAGATACAGTTATATGTACTATGCATAAAAATCAATACAACTGAATAAAATGAGTTGTATGACCGTCTCGATAAATAGGATCATCCGTAATTTCTGCACGACATAGCGGACATGAACGTTCTCTGTCTAGCCATGTTAAAACACATGCTTCGCAGAAGATATGTTTACAATACAATTTTATTGGCATTGAATATTCCTCATGACAAATTGCACATATACCTCCAGATGCTGCTATTTGGTCCTTTGACGGTGTTACGCCTAAACTCTGTAATAATATTAATTATTTTATGAATTAGTTTTGTTAACATTTTTAATTTCATTTTTTTTCCCAATAAAAATACAAAACGTACCGCATTTTGAAATAGATTCCAAATAGCCATGTAGAACAACTTTATACGAGATAATAAATCATTCCTTTTGCTTACTCCATACAATGCAGCAAAACATACACCCAAAATTTTTTCTGGACCTTGATAAGCTTCAAACAAATAATATAACCATGGTTGGATTGGAGCAATACATCTGTAAAGTTGAGATGTTGCTTCCACCATAAGATAACATTTTCCCTGAAATAAAAATTTTCCTTGATTTTCAATCAACAAATGTTATTAAAGCATTACACGTTAAAACTTACCCTTCTTCGAAGTGCCAGAAGTTTTAAAGGAATACACGTTAAAACAACTTTACAAACAACGGTAATCAATTTTAAAATAAAATCAGTCACCAAAACTGACCACAACAGTTCCCAAATTGTTGGAGGCTGGGTGTATGAAGAAAATAAATATATATCATATTCGAAATTAATGAACACTATACATGCAATAATATAACATGTAATAACTAATAGTGATATCCAACTTTTATTATGTTGTTTTGCAATTTCACGTTTTACAACATTATTAGCATGATTAAATGTAACAAGTAATACTATAAAATTCAATATTCCAGCTCTATGATCATAAAGACCTTTAGTAAGAAGGATAGAAACAAAGGGGATATATTTTTGAAATACTCCAAGTAATGCCCGTGTCTCTGAGCTAATTTGTAATCCTTCTGTAGGGTTTTCGTCTATATTATTATTGTTGTTATGATTAACAACATTGTTGCTGTTATTATTTTGATTTTCACCCACAACCTCATTCGCAGCTTCGCGAATATTGTTTAAAAAATTATCTGTTGCAGTTGTTTGATGATGTTGGTGATGACTGTCATGAGTTGAAACATCATGTAAATTTGTATTGTCTGCTGGGTGATTTTCAACATTAATCACATAATTGTCAGATGATGTAAGAGGAACAGTATTTATTGGATTTTGAATTCTTTGAATGTTTAACAATGAAGATAATGAAACACTGGGCTGCTGCAAATAAAAATAGTCGCAGTATTACGATTAATTTTGACAATATAAGAATTTATAAGATCTATGTTGTATGTATACTTACAATACGTACATGTTCTATAAAAGGTCTGATTTCTTGTATAGTGGAGGATATATTATTTGTAAAGAGTCTAGAGTGTTCCATAGTCCTAGCACTGAAATTAAAACCTCTTATGTTAATAGATGGAGCAGATCTGGTTGCAGTCGTTGAATGTGTCATTAGCAACCCTGAAGATTGCCCAATATCATTATTGTTTGACATATGAGGCATTGTAGAATTAGGAGGCACATTGATGATCTCTTCCAGTCTCACATTATCCGCCATTCTATTATATACAATAACAATAATTCGTTATATTTAAACCAATATACATTCACACAAATTGTTATCAAAAATTGATTTCAATTTATATAAATATAAACACAAATAGTTCTTAAAATAGTATTTTGAGAAAGATTCTAGATGACTACAAATAACAATTCCTCTAATCGACAACAATCTTGTAAGATATAATTTTATCTATTGATGTAAACACGACAATGTTTTTTATCGATGACACAGGTCAGAAAAGGGTTTACATACGGCACAAAGTTTATTTTTGTTACGCTCTCTCGAGGAAGCATCGATTAACGTCAAGCCGAATTAACAGAAGTCTTTGCCCATGTAATCATGTGACTAACATTGACATAACATATGGTAAATTGTAGGAACAAGTAGCATATATAACGACAAATAGGGATCAACACTCAAAGCTTTCAGGGGAAATCCATTTTAGGTTGACGTTCGTTAAGCTTCTAGAACGCGTTACAAAACACTAATTCTTGGATTCTTTATAATACTAAAATTTCATCGACGCTTGGGCAAAACTTTGATTCATAATTTTTGAGATACATATATATAATACACATCCATAATCTCTTACGCCATTTGCTTTAGTATTATATTATACATACATATATATGCTCCAGTACCAATAAATTACTAACATTAAGCGCCACTTTCGAAATTATATTTTATTTGATTCACCTAAATATTTTATATATAATGACATATAATTATATATATTTGCAACATTATTTAAAATTACATATGTTTTTGTACTATTTACTTTAGAATTATTTTTTTGTTAAGTTAAAATAATATTCAACTTCTAATTTACTGAAAATTTAGTATTATAAGAACTAAGAAGTCTGAATGTTGGATGGTGTTAATACAAATTGTACTTTATAAAAAATTTAACCCGTCCCTGACCAAAACAACTTTTTTTATTTTGTAATTGATCTATTGGTCATTGTATCCTTAATCGATGCTAAATATAGATTAAACATTTGCTAACCAAATAGCTAACCAAACAGCTAACAATATTTGCGAGTAGGATTTTTGGCGATTCGGAGGATCCAAAATTTTGCGGATGTTCTCTCACGGTAATGTCATTCTCTGCATTACCAGTATTTTTGTACAATATTTGGCTAAACTTCCGAAAACCTCTATGCTCCGAATTGGCTCAAATTATGACAATAGATTTTTTTTGATAAAAATGATGATTGCGAGAAGGATTTTTGGCGTCTCGAAAAAAATTTTTAGCGGCGGTTCAGTATAATGACAACGTCTGAGGAGGATGGGGAGGGGGGAAGGGGAGTAATACGAAATTTAAAGAATTGTTTTGAGGAAATAAACGCTTCCCGAGATATTTGTAAAAAACTGTTACTGCTACTGTATCAGGATCTTACGTCTGCGTGCACGTCCCTGGCAGCGCATGTGCTGGCATGGCGCGATCGCTTACCTACTGCTTTCGCGTACATACACACACTGGCGGCCGATTCAAATATTTTGAACGCACAAATCTCTCATGGATTGGCGGTTGCCTCCTGTCGGCCGCTATTAAATTACGCTAACCAAACCTTATCTTAGAAAAATGTATCGAAAAAAGTTGTTGAAAATACTAATTTCTATAACATATTCAAAAATCATCAAAATCAGTTAGGAGATACCACTTCTATAGTGTGATTCTCTCGCTACGCAAGACAAAAGCCGTGCCGCACAATGGAACCACCGCTGTTCCGTTTCTTGTCCTTCGTCTCAGCCATAAACACACACAGAGCAGTCTTGGGTCCGGCAATATGGCCCCTGGGTCTCTTTACCCGCAAAAACAGCAGGGTTCCATTGTGCGGGACGGCTTTTGTGTTGCGTTGCGAGAGAATCGCTGTATCTGTATCTGTGTTTCACCCTGTATTTGTTCCCGAATTTGACGAATTGTTGCTTATTACTTGTTCTACATTACTTGGACCAACAACTGGCTCTTGAACTGTTGGAGAACAACCCGGCTGTAGATTTAATCTAGATGTTCGAATTACTCGCATTCTACACGTGTAGCACAAATTTTCCCGTAATATTATATTCTGATACTTTTCATGAAACGCGATTGTAACTGAACGAAGATTTTTAGTTACATTTGAATGTCGAGGTAAACTAAATGGATTGGAACAATATCTTCGCGGCATTTTTGCTTTCCACCAGTACACAATTACAGTTTTAAACTAAGAAAAACAAGAAACTGAAAAGTACACAGCATAGTTATGCACAACACTGAACGCTTAACTGAAACCGCTTGTCCCGTTGCTTTCCCTAATTAAAACTGAACGGTGTTCTGGAAAAGTGAACCGTCGAAATCGTTTTGCCATACTTTTATTGCCTTTTAAGGGTTTGTAGACAAAAGTACCAAAAACGTGTCGACCTATTCCGTAGTTGTTAACCGATGGCTGGCTATTTGAAAAAATGTAGAGTAGCGGCGCATGGGGACCGGACGGCAAGGTTTGAAAATTATAAACATTATTTACAACAATTTGAAGATTGCGTTTACACATGTAGTAATTTTTTTATTAAACTTTGAAGTTTTACCTATAAAATTCGATATCTATAATACTTTCCGAGTTATGATTTTTTGAAAAAAAAGTGACCCTAAATTTTCAGTCCTTATAATTCGAGCATCGAGTTTTTGTTCGTACATTGGGTTCTACAAGCCTACAAAATTTAACAAAAATCCAAGACCATGCGGGAAAAAGTGTGATCACTTTGCGTGGAATGGCCCATATAATGATCTCGAAAGTATTCCCGGCATGAATTACAAGCATAAAACGGTCAATCATAGCCAAATGGGCACTGGCCGATTTGTAAATGAAGAAACAGGCGCAAATACACAAAAGGTTGAAGGGTCCTGGAAGCACTTGAAATAGAAGATAACAAATGCAGGATATAGAAAAGAAGATCTTGCAGGACACATGTGTGTCTATATGTATGTGGCACAGAATAGTGCGGACGAAAGGACTCGATCCATTCGAACAGTTAATAGAAGACATAAAAAAAGTATATCCAGCTTGTAATAGTAACATTTAGTGATAACAACTGTGACAGATAAAAAAAACTGTGATTTTTGCTTGAACATAAACAGTTATGTGAGATTTATGTAGTTAAAACATTTTAAGATTCGTTCCTTATAAACATTTGAAAGAGCCGCCGGAATTGTGTGTGCAGGGACAGTAAGTATGTACATACATACATTCATAAGCGGTCGCACCATGCCCACGCATGCGCTGCCAGGGACATGCACGTACAGGTAAGATTCCGATGCAGTAGTAGTAGCAGTTTTTTGCAAATATCTCGGTAAGCGTTCATTTCCTCAAAATAATATTTTCGGATCTTTACACCCCTCGACCGCCTCTTTATAACAATATATGCTATACCCCTGTAAGGCGTTGTCACCACATTAAACTTCAGCCAAATTTTTTTATCATTTTGGTGTCCTTCCCTACTTTACCGACGCAATTATCGGATTGAACCCCAAGCAACTGCTAGGCGAATTGAAGTGTGATATATGTATTCGAGGGAAGATGACTCACTTACCTTTTCCTAAGAATTCAAACAGGAAGACGGGAATGCTGGAAATTATACACAGCGACGTATGTGGTCCTATGCGTGTACGATCGAACGGGGAATCAAGATATTACGTAACATTCATCGCTGACAGCACGCGTTGGTGCGAAGTGTACATGTTGAAAGGAAAGGACGAAGTACAGTGAGCATTCAAAGAATTCACAGCCTATGCGGAAAATCAAACGGGGCGAAGAATTAAAAGTCTTCAATCAGATAATGGGACGGAGTACAAGAATTCTGCATTTGACGATTTTCTGAAGAGCCACGGAATTAAACGAAGGCTATCCGTCACCTATTGTCCTGAACAAAACGGACTGGCGGAGAGGAAGAACCGCACTCTCACGGATATGGCCAGATGTCTGTTTCTGCAATCTAAATTACCTCCCAACTAAGAGTTTGTAGGGCAGAACGCCCTATCAAGCGTGGACTGGAAAGAAGCCGGATGTGCGAAATATGAAAGAATTTGGTTGTACCGTTTACTTTCTCGATGGAAAACCAAACAAGGGAAGTTCCACGCGCGCTCGACGAAAGGAATCCTCATAGGGTACCCTGCAGACGCGAGGGCTTACCGGGTTTTGGTCCCCGACGAGAGAAGAGATTCATCGAAGAATTCGGAACAGATCCTGAGCATCAGTACGAAGATTTCCTCACGGAAGACGGGCAAGAGTTCTCCACGGAAGATACGACGGGAGATGAAGAACGTCGAGAAGTAGAAATACAAACTCCCATTGAAACCACAACAGCGACGGACCGGCACATGGAACAGGACATGGCGGTGCTGACCAGCGCCGAGGCGAATGCGAACTTATTCGCTGCTCCCCGCCCCCAAAGAGCTAGAAGAGGGTCCTTGCGACCTCGGAGGTAGGAGCTCCTCTATTTCAGGGAGAATAGCTCCGAGTTCGGTCGACAGTGGGTAGGACTCGGACGAGTCCTTTGTATCCGCTGCCTCACTGGACCGCCCGCCAGGGGGGGGGGGGGGGGGGGGGGGGGGCGTGGAAGGCCAAGGAAAAGCTCCTCGTGGCGACAAAGGATGAGGCGGGGGTTAGTGACGAGGAGCGGGTCCTTGACCACTCTCTCCCTCCACCCCCCCAAGCAGGGGCAGCATTCCCTTGCCGGAGCAGAAGCTGCTTGAGGTGGAGCTCTGCTACGAGCCAGCGACGGTTCTGGCAGCACGGACACTGGAGCTGACCGCGGACGTGGAGAGGGTTGCCTCCTATGTCCAAGGGGCTCAAAGGGCTTCCAGAGATTCCTCCGACTGGCTGCCCGGCGCATTAGGGCCATCAATGTGGAGATGACCAAGAGAATGTGGCCGGACAGCGGAGCGGAGGAGATTGCGGGGCTGAGGCATCAGCTCCGCCAGCGGGAGGAGGAGATCACCAAGCAGGGTGAGCAGCTGTTCACCCTGACCAAGGAGCTGGCGGAGATGCGGGCTCGCCTGGTGGCGGTAGAGGCCCTCATCTTCACTGCCCCCGCTCGCGCCGAGAAGGCGGCTAGGACGGCCTCCCGCTTGGCAGAGCAGGGAGGAATCAAGAAGAGAAGGCCGGAAGGGAGGAGGTGGTCATGCCCGAGCCAGTGGCTGGCCCCTCCTGGCTGGAGGTGGCCCCGTCCGCCCCCATCATGATCAAGAGGGCTGCCCCCGCTCCATCCAAGGGGGTACCTAGGATTTCCCGGGTGGAGGCGGTCGACCCTGAGGGGGGGACATTAGGGTGTGCCTAGCTGCCCTCATGCAGCAGGTCTCCTCCCTCAGGGCTGAGTTTATGGAGGCCCTGGAGTCCAGAGGGGGGAAGGAGGTCCCGCCCCCTTAGGAGAAGGGAGAGGTGGCTGTCAGTACTAAGGCCACCCCCCGGCCCAGTACAACCAGCGGCACCCTTGCCCTCCAGCAGGTGGGGAGAAGCCTGCTTCCCCAGGTGAAGAGCGAGTCCCCGCTGGAGGCGAGGATGCGGGGCATCCAGCAGGAGACCCACCTTGCCGCTCAGGGGGAAAGTTGGGACACAGTGGTCGGCCGCAAGGCCGAGAGGGCCGAGAAGAAGAAGAAGGAGGGGCCACCACCGACACCCGGTGACACAGTGGTGCGAGGGACGCAGCAGGGTGCCAAGGCCGCCCCCCCCCCCCCCCAGAAGCCAGCTGCCTTAGTCGCCGCACAGAAGAGGAAGGTAATCAAGCCGCCTAAAACAGCGGCCGTCATCTTGACCTTGGCCCCTGAGGCCAAGGCAACGTACGCTGAGGTGATGGTGACCGCCCGGGAAAATGTCAGTCTGAAAACTATCGGGATAACCGAGATTCGATCTTTGCGGGCAGTAACGGGCGGCCTGGTGTTTGAGATACCGGGCGAGGAGCGCACGGAGGGAGCAGCCGCGCTAGCCGGCCGCCTTCAGGAGGTGTTCGGAGGCACCGAGGTCCGGGTGTCTCGCCCTGTAAAAATGGGCGAGATAAGGATTTCGGGCCTGGACGACTCGGTGTGCCCAGCTGAGGCTGCGGTAGCTTTGACCGCTGTGGGGGGTTGTGCCCCAGCCGACGTTAAGGTCGGGCAGATCAGAATCTCCCCGGCCAGGCTGGGCACTATCTGAGCTAAATGCCCTCTGACGGTGCTGGCAAGGATAACAGCCTTCGGGAGGATCCTGGTTGGCTGGTTGTCAGCCAGGGTCAAGACGCTGCCTTTGCAGTGTTTCCGCTGCCTCACATGGCCTTCTTCGAGGCAGCGGTGCACGTGCGTGGTGGATCGGTCCGATCGCTACTATGTTTGTGGCGAGTCGGGCCATAAGGCCGCCACATGCAGCGACTCCCCGCGGTGCCCCTTGTGCACTGACTTGGGGCGACCCGCGGGGCCCCGGTTGGGGGCGAAGTCGTGCGCCCCCGAGTCCCGGAGGCCCAATAGTAAGAAGGAAGCCGTTCAGGGGGGAGTAGCAGCCCCCCAACAGGCGCAGCAGCAGCCAGCCAAGAGGCAGGCAGCCCAATAAGAAGAGGGGTGGCAGGTCTGCTACCCCAAAGGGAGGTATGGGGTTACCTCCGCTAAGTAATGGGGGCTTATGGGCCCATAATTCAGGGCAACCTGAACCACTCGGTCAGGGCGCCAGATCTTTTTCTGCATCACCTGGCCGAGTGGAAAATTGGGCTGGCAGTGGCTGCGGAGCCGTACAGAGTCCCCAACAGACATGACTGGTTCGGCGACGATGACGGCTCCGTGGCAGTGATTGGCGCCGCCTTTGCCCTGCCCTCTACGCTAATAGAACGGCGGTGGGGGTTTGTGGCGGTGCTGTGGAACGCGATCGCGGTGTTGGGCGTGTATTGCCCGCCCAGTTGGCCCCTCGCAGCTTTTAAGAGTGGTTAGGTCGGGCGGGAGACGTTGTCCCCCGTTGCTACCCCCGGCCGGCACTCGTCCTCGGGGATTTCAACTCCCATGCCCAATCGTGGGGGTCCCCGAGGACTGACGCGAGGGGCGGGGTACTCAAGTGGGCGGCGGAATTTGAGCTCCAGCTGTTGAACCTGAGCTTGGTTAGCACCTGCGTGCGGGCTCGGGGGGAGTCGATAGTTGATCTATCGTTCGCGACTCCCTCGGCCGCACGCATGGTGCGGAGTTGGAGGGTGGTGGAGGATGCGGAGACGCTCAGCGATCATCGCTACATCCGTCCCGGATTTTCCACCCCCGACCGTCGCCCGCCGCGGAGATGGGCGCTGAAGAGGCTTGACAGGGACGCGCTGATGGCTACAGCCCTCGCTGTGACTTGGCCGGAGCAACCGGTCGGTCCGGTCGCGGATAGAGGGGACGAGGTGAAATGGTTCGGGGGCACGATGAAGGCGATCTGTGACATTGCCATGCCCCGGGCCAAATGCCTTCCCAGACGGGCCGTCTACTGGTGGTCGGGGGAAATCGCCGATATTCGGCGAAACTGTAATATCGCCTGACAAAGTGGCAAAGGGCCCGTTGGATGCTACAGAGTGTTAGCGGTAGCCCTGCAGCTAGCCATCAGAGAGGCCAAATCCCGGGCGTGGCATGAGCTCCTCGGCTCTCTCGACGATGAACCGTGGGGGCGCTCTTATAAGTGGGCGATGGGCAAGCTAAGGTCCTTGGTTCTCCCCGTGACGGAGAGCCTCGACCCCCAGTTCTTGGGTCAGGTGGTAGACACATTGTTCCCTCGTGACGACGGTAGTCACCCCTGGCCCCCGCCATTCCAAGTCGAATGGACCGACGACATGGGGTTCACGGAGGGAGAGCTGGCCGAGGCCGTTAAACGCATGAGGGCCCGGAACACCGCTCCGGGCCCCGACGGCGTCCTCGGCTGAGGGTGGGTATTGGCCCTGCGCGTCCTTGGACCGCAACTGAGGCGCCTCTTCAGCGCCTGTGTTAAGGAGGGGGTATTCCCCTCTGCGTGGAAGGTTGGACGACTGGTCCCGCTGAGAAAGGAAGGACGGCCCGCGGAGAATCCCTCCGCGTACACTGAGTTCCATCGAAGTTGTTGCAGTGAAGTTGGCGCACTAACACATTCACACCGCGACGGTCAGCCGATGGGCGAGGTGCCGACGACGCGGTGTGAATGTGTTAGTGAATGTGTAGCCAACTTCACTGCGACAACTTCGATGGGACTCAGTGTACCGGCCCATAGTTTTGCTCGACGAGGTCGGGAAGTTTTTAGAAAGCGTTATAGCTGACCGCCTCGCGGACCGATCTGGCTGAGTCGCAGCACGGTTTTAGACGGGAGCGCAATGTGACTCGGCCACGTCTCCGGGCGGGGTGGCGTTGGGCGTTTCACTCGACATAGTGAACGCCTTTAACACCCTGCCCCATGGGGCGATCATGGGGGCACTCGATGAACACGAAGTGCCCCCAGTACTGAGACGGATGATCGGGACCTACCTACGGGGTAGGTACATTATGTATATGGGCCGGGATGGACGTGTTTATTGGAGGAACGTCGATGAGGATGTACCCCAGGGGTCCCATTTGAGACCCCCATTGTGGAACGTGGGGTACAACCCAGCTTTGCCGGTCGTGGTCCCGGACGGTGTAAGCATCACGTGCTTTGCTGATGATACGCACGTGTTTGCCACCGACCGGACTGGAGTAGGACCAGTCGTCTTGCAGAGGTTGGAGTGGCTCCCGTCGCAACGGCGCACAGTGGGACAAAACGGCTTTCGGCGAATAAAATTCGATTTTCGTGAATTCGAAAATTGAAAAACTAATTACATACATCGATAGAGAATAAACTGTAGTTTAACGTAGTGTAATCCGGTTTTTTATATTTGCTTCCGTTTTGCCGTGGTTCGCACTCAAAGTCAGTAGAAATTCGTCAAAACGAAACGCTGATAATATTACCCGTAACTTCAATGTACGATTCTAATGAATTTTACTCAGAAAGATACAATTCAAATGAATGATAAAGTTTACTAGGATAGTATAGATTCTATTCAGTGCATAAAGTAAGTTAAAATGTTAACAACTTTTTAAATAATAGGATATGATTGAAACGAAGTACATTTAAATAAAATCTCAACTTTGAGCTTGATTTTAAAAAAATGCCACAATTTGCCACATGTTTAATTATTACTACAGGAAAGAGTGAAACTTCCTCTATCAGAATCTGAAAAAATCGGTTGCACTTTTTTGCACTTTTTCAAGAAAATGGTGATTGAATGAAATTACATCCATCTTGGCCGCTGCGCACGATGATAGAAAAACAGTACCAGATACGATTATTAACCAGTTAACTGCATTCCACGTGTATATTCGTCATCCAAAACTTTATTTCGTCCTTGCAATATGCCATAATAAATTTTCATAATTGTCGAAATTGTTTTCACGAATGATTTGGTATCGATCATAATAAATATAAATAAATATATTATAATAACACATGTCTTGTCATTTTTTAATTATTAAATCCGTTTCTCTTATAGTTATTAACAGTTTTGAGTCAATTTTTTGTTAAATGACATAAAATATGTCTAATAAGTGAAGGATATTGAACGCGCTACAGTTTATACGTGAATATCTTGACACCCTGTAGTTCAATATGATTTATATTAATACAACTTAAGTATCATAATGTAGGCAAAAACTTCCCAAAATTTCATTAAAATATTTCCAATAGAACCGAAGTTACGGAATTTTGATCGCCAAAAGCAATTTTGTCCCACTGTGCGGCGGTCCGGAGGCTGAGGCTACAGATAGCGCTCCACAAGACCGAGGCGATGTGGTTTCACTCGCCTCGGCGTGGGGTTGCACCACCGCCCCAGTCATGGATCCAGGTAGGTGACACCCGAGTCCAGGTGGGTGAAGGGTTCTAGTATCTTGGCCTCCACCTGGACAGCCACTGGCACTTTGAAAGGCATTTCGACCGTCTTGCCCCCCGATTAGACGGGGTAGCAAACGCCCTTGGGGGGTCGAGCGAGAAGGTTCGCCGCCTTTATACGGGGATCGTGCGGAGCGTGGCCCTATATAGGTCGCCCATATGGGCCGAGGCCCTGATGGCGTCTCGCCGCAGCCAACTCGTGCTGTGGCGAGTGGAGAGGAGGATGGCCATCAGGGTCGTGAGGGGATACCGCACGGTCTCCCACGCGGCGGCGATGACTCTGACGGATCCCGTACCTTTTAAGTACGAGACGGAGCTTGCGCCACGATTTTCTGGCGCTTGTGCGGCCTCTGCCAGCCTGGAGAAGACCGGCAGAGCAGACGGTCGAACGGGAATGAAGGTACCAGGCCCGACAAGATGCTTCTGTGAGGAGGTCATCGCCTTGAAGGAGGAGGCGGAGCGGGGTCGGGAGAGAGCCGACCCCGCCCGCAGGAGAGGACGCCGTCGGGGGGGCCTCCGACACAGTTACCTGGGGAGGACGGGGCGGTGGGCCTTGATAACTCTGCCCACCGCCCCCAACAGGATGAGAAGCCGAAGCTCCCCCCCAAGGTAGATGAAGTGGGGGTGTGGCTTCGGCCTCCCGCAGGGTGATAGGACGGGAGGGAGGGGCTTGCCCCTCTCCCCAATCGCAGATCGGCGGCTCCTTTGTGGAGTCGCTGGGTCGCCATTGCACGTGGCCTCCGGCGTCAGCGGAGTTGGGCGAGGGTCAAAGGTTAGACCCTCCCCCGAGATGGGTTGTTATGCGCCAAGGGTGGGAGGGTCCCGGTATATTCGACAGAGGTTCCGGGGCCCTTCCTAACGCCCAGTGCAGGTCACCGTGGGGGTTTTAGCCGGTAAAAATCCGGTACTCCCCCCGGCCCCTCCCCAGGGGGCTGGGGGCGTCTTTCGAAGATTTTCTCCGCGAAAAAGAAAAAAAAGGTTTTGCGCAACGTCCGGGGATCGACTTTAACCAGACGTTTGCGCCGGTCGCAAGGTTGAGTTCAATCCGTATAATGAGTGCCATTGCATTTAAAATAATGCTTCATTATGCCCGTTCACAGAGGTAGATAATGTATGAGATATTTGATTTTTTTAGCAGCTTCGACATTGTAGCACGCATTTACAACATTGCCATTATTAGAATTGTTGGCGATTCTTTGGGCTTGTGTATATATGCTATCAGCCCAAGCTGTTCAACTTCCAGCAATTAATTCGTCATAATCATCACATTCTTTGTTCTC